TGCTCCCGTTCTCACCTGGTCTTCGTTTTGGTTGGTGTCTGTTGTTTTCGTGGAAACTGTTCCGAATGTTTTGCCTTTCTCGGATTTCGGTTCCTCCGTCACTACGTCTCTTGATTTCATCCCGACCATCATTGCCCACCTTTCAGTAAATGACGTTCTTTTTGCTTGAGACTCGTCCTTTACCGTTTCTGGCGTGTTGCCCGTTGTGTCTTCCACAGTGTCTATCGGCGAGAACTCCATGGACTTTGGATTTGTTTCTTCTGCATTCGGCATCGGTGTTGACTCCGTCGTCTTCTTCTCAACCTCATCCACACTTTGGTCCGGTGTCTCTAGATCAATCTCGATAGCGGGTTCTGCTTGTTTCCCTTCCATGCCCTCTTTTGTTTTGTTCTCCGTATTACTCCTCGTATTGACCATGCTAACTGAAAAGTTCTTCCTTGTTACTTTTGGGCCCATAGATGTCGTTTTACGTAGCGACGAGTTATATTTTGTCTTTGATTCTGTAACTCTTTTTTTTCAGCCACCGGTACCCTGCTCCGTCTCATGATTTATATTTACAATTGATTCTATTTACAATATTGGTATTTACAAAATCCTATTCTAAAAGAAAAAAATAAAAAATTTTTTTGTTTATAAGAAGAAAAACTACTTTACTGTTCCTTCTAAGATTTTGTTAAAAGTCTATGAATTCGTGATCCTAACACTATCGTGTTCTAACTAGTCCTATTGCTTTTGATTCAATTAATTCGACCTGTCTCAAGACCTTCTAGTACCGTCACTCCACTTCTTCGTGCTGTCCCAAGCTTTCTCTCTACTGTCCCAAGACTATTCAGTGCTGTTCCAGTACTTCTTGTTAGTGTCCCAAGACCACTGTCCCAAGACCCTTGCCCTAAGACGACTGTCCCAAAACTACTGTCCAGAGACTACTGTCCCAAGACTAGTGTCCCAAGACCACTGTCCCAAGACTACTGTCCCAAGACCCTTGCCCTAAGACTACTGTCCCAAGACTAGTGTCCCAAGACCACTGTCCCAAGACTACTGTCCCAAGACTAGTGTCCCAAGACTACTGTCCCAAGACTACTGTCCCAAGACTACTGTCCCAAGACTACTGTCCCAAGACTACTGTCCCAAGACTACTGTCCCAACACTAGTGTCCCAAGACTTTTGTCCCAAGACCACTGTCCCAAGACCACTGTCCCAAAACTACTGTCCCAAGACCAGTGTCCTAAGACCACTGTCCCAAGATCACTGTCCCAAGACCACTGTCCCAAGACCAGTGTCCCAAGACCACTGTCCCAAGACCACTGTCCCAAGACCACTGTCCCAAGACCACTGTCCCAAGACTACTGTCCCAAGACTACTGTCCCAAGACCAGTGTCCCAAGACTGTGTCGTACCAAGACTGCTCTGGCCCAAGACTGGCCCAAGACTGCACCGTCCCAAGATTGTCCCAAGACTGCACTGTCCCAAGACTGCACTGTCCCAAGACTGTCCAAAGACTGTTCTGCTCCAAGACCGTCCCCAGACTGCAATGTCCCAAGACTTCTTCGGTACTGTCCCAAGACTTGTCACCAAGTGTCTGGATAGTAGGATCTCTTCTTCTTTGTTGTGGGGACTCTTGAACCACTGTACCGTGTACCTCCACTTGAGCTCTTCTAATTTGTCTTCACCCTTTCGTTGTTTCAGGCTATTTTAAATCCCAACTTCTTCGCAGGTATCTTGTGATCACCTGTTCGTTCAATTACCAACAAAAAATTCTCACCAAAACGTAAAAATTTAAACAGGAAAAATTACAAAAACAGAGAGATGAACCCAATTAATATTCAAAGCTGACAGATGTCAACCTTTTTCCGAAAAAATGTCTGGTACCCGATTGCCACGCGTTTTCCTCCCCCCTGCTAGCGATCTTACGGGGTATCACAAAAACTCTCTATGTCCGCTCCCCCCTACCGATCCGACCAGGGTTACCTACCTTAACTCGATGTTAAATCTGGATATCCGCTTCTTATAACCAACGCGTGTAAATATCTAATGTAACTAAATCGACTATGCCGAACAATTAGTTACTCTAATGTGTCCTCCCTTTTTACACTTTACAACCACCAACCTTTAACCTAACCAGCCCCCCTTCTAATCTACCCCCTCTTTAGCCCCCTCTTAAGCCGAAACATCCCTTAAGCGCCGGGTGCTAAACCTCTCGAGAGAAAACCGTAGACCTGTTTCCAGGCCTGCTTGTGTAAAAATTTCCTCAAAACAATGGGGCTCCGCTTATCCAAAATTACACTTATTTCCTATAATGTAATGTGGATTTTAACGATACCCGTTTGTCCAACTTGAGAACACCCCTGTGCGTCCTCTTCTTGTTGTAGCAATCCCGTGCTGGTTGTCCCCTTGACGTGCACTGCACTTGACGTCAGCACCACCTCCCCACTTGGCTGGTCACCTCTTCCATTCAAGTCTCCTAGCGGTTCAGCTCAGTCCTTATGAACCACTTTCCCACTCGGGTGGACACATCTTCCAGTCAAGTCTCCTAGTTGTCCGGCTCTGTCCTTGTGAACCACTTTCCCACTCGGCTGGACACTTCTTCCAGTCAAGTCTCCTAGTGGTCCGGCTAGGTTGCAAGCTATCTGAAAACCCTTAACAACGCCCCCCACTTGGGCACCTTTTTGAAGTCACTGGTTTAGATTGCTAGATTGATCGAAACGATCGTTCTTATAAAACAGTATGGGTATACTATTAAATTAATATAAAAGTTTGATCCAACTACTCTGGTATCAGAGTCACTGTCAAGTTTGTTTTATAGTTTTTGTTCCTTTTTCTGTACTTTTTTCTTGTTTTTGTTGCGTGTTTTGACTTTTTGCTCGTGTGTTATTCCCCCTAGTTACCCCCCCCCCCCCCCTACTCGGTTAGCTAAGGCTCGTTCGGAGAGCGTACCAGGAAGTTTTCTCAAGTTTTCTTAAAAAGCTATCACGGTACAACCGGAAGGTTTACGCGTTCCCGCTGAACCAGACCACCGGTACTCTAGAATGGGCATGTAGCCCGGAGCTGTGTCAAGTGGGTTCGACTCCGCAGTCTTGATGTCGTAAAAACACCAAGGAGCGCCATAAAAACACTATGTAACAGTCGCCTACTTCGGTCACATATGAGGCTTAAGAAAAATAGGCCCTATAACCATTGGCTCAAGAGTCAGGGACACTATCTCTTGTGTTTTTGTACCTCAAAAACGGTCGGAGCCAATTCGGTTCGCTTGCGACATGAGACTAGAACCCGTTACAGCTTAAAGGCCACTACCAAAATACCCCCCGCCCCCACTCTAGAAAATAAGAACGTCCCCATACTTAGGTCTCAAAATACCCAAAATACACGAACGCCGTTAAAAACCGGGTTGCAACAATCCGTTAAAATACTTTTTTATTGGACAGTGGAACTTTGGTCCATTTCAGGTGGATCAACCTACTTATCATAAAATGCACTCGAGAAAACTAAATTTGGTACTTACATAGCAGCACGCATGAGAAAGAAAGTAATTAAACTAATAAATGACTCTAGCATAATTATAATCGAATATAACTCAAGAAGTTTTCTAATGATGAGTTCCAATCAAAGGAAATAAGTTTTAATTCAAGAATGTATTTTTTGATCTGGACCATTGGGAGACTTCGGTTGTCTGCTTTTCCGTTGAAGGTTCACTCTGGTCCAGTTGATTCTTGCTCTGCTCTTGTATTTGTTCGGTCTTCTATATCAGATAGAACGTCCCCAAACTTAGGTCTCAAAAAACCCAAAATACACGAACGCCGTTAAAAACCGGGTTGGAACAATCCGTTAAAATACTTTTTTTATTGGACAGTGGAACTTTGATCCATTTCAGATGGATCAACATACTTATCATAAAATGCACTCGAGAAAACTAAATTTGGTACTTACATAGCAGCACGCATGAGAAAGAAAGTAATTAAACTAATAAATGACTCTAGCATAATTATAATCGAATATAACTCAAGAAGTTTTCTAACGATGAGTTCCAATCAAAGGAAATAAGTTTTAATTCAAGAATGTATTTTTTGATCTGGACCATTGGGAGACTTCGGTTGTCTGCCTTTCCGTTGAAGGTTCACTCTGGTCCAGTTGATTCTTGCTCTGCTCTTGTATTTGTTCGGTCTTCTATATCAGTTAGGACAGCTCTACTCTAGTTTTCTACGATGGAAATTGCGAATAGCAATTTCCCACTGTATATTTGACAACTTTCCCGCAATTGTAATTCGGTTGTTCTGATTTTATATTTGATGTTTTCAGTTGTCGCGAGAAATCTGAGCATAACAGGCTCCATTCGAATTTTTGAAAAATAAAACGTCATTCCAAGACCACGTATTTTCGTGTTCAAGGTCAAACTTCCAAATATGACCGACTGGCACAAAGTTTTGATTGGTTGCATTTTCTAAATTTTGAACTAATGATGTGTATGACACTTTTTATGATCCTTGATCATTTTGTACAGATAGTTAATTATTTTTAAAACCTGAAGATGCACAAAAATGTGCGTAAACGTTTGTTTGAATTTACAATTTTAACGCATTCTCAAAACAAATACTTCAAATGTGATCTATTGTTTGACCCAGAATGCAAAATTAGACTTCTAGGAATGTACACAAAGATTTTCAAAACTCGCTATAACGATTCAGATACATGCGCTTGGCGCATTTTATGCGAATGTAACAACTGTAGAGACCTGAAGAAACCTACACTTATAACTGAAAACAAAAATTTGAACATTGCAATGACTGGGTTTTATGCGAACCCTTGGATTATTTTCCTAAATCCTTTGTTATTATTATTGTTATTATTATTATCACTTCCATATCTAGAAAATTCCTAGGATTTGACTGGAAAACGTGATGAAGGGACTCCTGACTATAACCTCGGTTACTATGATACTTTTGACCTTCTGATCACCCTAAAAAATAAGATAATAAAGATCAATGGGCATCATGGTTGGAAAACTTTTAGATGTGTTCAAAATATGGCAGATACAACTGGTGACTTAGACAGCTTCTTTGCGCGGAAGGACAAGAAAAAGAAAGGACAAACATGGGATAAAAAGAAAAAGTCAAATAAAAATGAAAATGCGGAATCTGCTCAAATATTTGGACCTGAATCTATTGAACACGATGAATGGGGAGAAATACAAGACGATTTATCCAAGAGTGTAAAGACTGTTGATCGTAAGTGTTAGTTGAAAATTGTACATTTGTATAGTTCTTAACAAAGTCAGGACGTTTTAAGATTAGCAATAGTTGTTTCCTTCAAGCTTAAAATAGCTCTTTGATGTTTTATGTGTTATGTTTCGGCGTTTTATGTGTTTTTTTTGTTGAAAAAATGATTGGCAGATAATTGTGGTCTTGAAATTAGGCAAAAAACGGACGTCATCGAAAAAGTGCAATTTCCCCAGTTCAACTGCAGTGTTGACAATTCGATAGCAATTTAGCTCTCTTTCTCCGTCTCGAAGTCAGAAATATCATTATTTTTCTTAGAAATTTTGGACGTTTTCCAATAAAGATTCAAGGACTTATTGCAAATTATATGCGCTCTTTGGATATTAAACGACTGCGTATGTTAGTGGCTGCATAGTCATAGTGTGCTCGGTGTGCTTAAGTCTGTTAATAGTTCTGGCGATTCTTTCAGACACATTTCAACGAAATTTGTGGGGACCGATCGTTTAGCAGACTAATATTATAGCATAAAAGTGAAAAATGAGTTTCTTAGCCGACCAACGTGTAATAAAGTGATGGATGAGTGAATAAAGGCGAAATAGTGTCGATTTTTGGGCGTGATTTTTTGAATAAATCGAAAAGCTTTGGCATATTTGACACTCTTAGTAAATAAGGCAAGTTGACCCACATTTTATGTCGAAAAATGACCAGAAACGTTGTAAAAATTGCAACAAAATTTTAAAAAAAATCTAAAACGTACTAATTAATTTTTGAGTGTTGTTGCATTTTTTCTTTCCCTAAATTGGCAAAAACTGATTTACTGGAGTTAAATTAAAGTTTCAGGGCTTGAATAAATGTTTCATGGCTCATCTTCTTCAATAAAAAGTTTATTATAAGCATGTTTTTGCTTTGTTTTCTCGAAATTATACTTAAAATCTTGAATTTTCAACTGGTTTTTTTGAATATCTATCATCACGGTCGAATCACGACTGAAAGGGTTCTAATATGATATATCACTTGACCCAATGCGATGATTATTTGTGGTACCTGATTCTGCGTGGAAAAAGCCAAAACACACCGGAATACAAAGTGCATCCCCATTTTCAATGGTAGGAACAAAAACAAAACTGAAAAAGAATTGTCAAGAAAGCAAGAGACAATAAGGTTCGACAATCGATGAAAATCTTCCAATTCAGATTCGAAGCGTCGATGAACCTTTTTCTTAATTTAAATAATCAAAGAATCAGTGTTTTGAGCTATTGCGAAGTGTTCGAAGGTGCTTTTAGGGCGATCGCACAGCCCCAATCAATTTGCACAATTTTTGGATGACGGAAGAACTGTTTTCGATTGACTTTTAAAGTTGTGATAGATTGCCGATCATTTTTTTTTACATTACTACGCTTGCGATTAGCAAGTCTTATCAAATCATACTATAGACCTGGTTCAGGTTAACAACTTTTAAACAAAATCTCGTCATAAGTATCAGTTGTCGGTCTATTATATGTCTCCACAGGTTTTGTCGGCTTAAATAGTTACAGCCATTAATAGTTTTCAGTAGTGTCATCTGTTGATACTCTATTTTCCTTGTGGTAGTATTTGAGGAGGAAGACGGATCAACCAATAATTCACCATAAGCGCTCTTTTGCTACTATTCGAAACAGTTTGTTCAGTCAGGCTGGGTTACCATTCGAAGATGAAATTTGTTAAGCCTTTACTATTCGGCTTTTGAACTCTGCCTAGAAAAAGGTTCTTCAGGCTAAGACTAAATCAAATAACACGACCTACCTAAGAAGACCCACTGATCCCACCGTAGTGCCCTCAGCTAAAAGTTGGCAAGTTTTGCAGTTGAAAAGAAAATCTAAAACTTTGGCGCGAGCTAGTGACTTCCTGGAACCACGGAACCAAGGTAAGCAAATACTAGCGACTAGCTGGCTTCTTGAACGGTTCTCAACCTAAAGACTCAAACAGCAACATACTCTTCAATTCCAAGTCTCTCACCTCGCCCTAAGATGCATACTCTTTTAACATTCATCTCACCCGAGTTACTAAATGCAACATTTACAAACGGAACATTAAAATTAAGAGAAATGCTAAATGTCTCTCCCTAACAGATGCGCCTCAGTTTTATACCGAAGAAGTGGAGAAACGCATTAAAATGGCTCGCTCATCTCATGGATTTGAAACATCTTCATGAAACTGTCCCTAGACTACCTCACGTCTTGAGCCTTAGGTTACGCACGCGCTTCGCAAGTCTCATCTATTCCGAAAACAGCAACCGTATTTCAACTGTTCAAACCCCTGAAGTACCGTACTGTCCAAAGAATGTTGTCCCATTTCCTTACTCAGTCCCGTTGTCCAATGCGGTTTCCAACTACAAAGAAATTGACCCAATACCCAAAATAATCACTGAAATTTCCCTATAAACTCCACAACTGATTTATAACTCAGAAGACTCGTTTCAGCCTCGTTATACGTTCCGGCTACTCCTCGCTTCTCAAATCATACTTCAACAGTTTTCACCCAAGTGTCTCGAATGAATGTCCTGAGTGATTCAACGTCCCACACAATACCAACCACTTTTTAGTCCACCAAAACCTTCTATACTCACTTCACTTTGGTCTCATTCATTCGAAGCTGCTCCGTTTCTCAGTTTGTACCAGGCCTCAAGCACGTCAGTTTAGCTCCATACTGATGGCCAGTGTCGACTCAACACTGGATCATAATTTCGACTATAAAACCAAAACCGTTCCTCTGAGACTTGAAGATGACGAAAAGAACCATCTTTCACTGGAAGTGCTGAAAACAACCTGAACCAAGCAATCAATCTTCTCAGAAATACGGTACTAACGGACGAATTTTTCGAACATTCATATTGAAATCAGACCGAAAAGATGATGTTTCATGCGTTGAGCCTGGACCAGGAAACTACAAGAGCCGATAGTTATTGCAGCAGAAAGCACCACTGAGCAAAAAAAAGTTTTTTGAAATTTGCGTGCTAATTATGCTTGCGATTAGCAATCGTTATCAATTTGGAATATAGACTTTTTAGGGGTTAACTAGTTCAACAGAATCACTTGAGACTTGAATAATTTGATAGCTTGAATCGTTTTGTTTGAGAGCTCCTGTTAGTTTTTCTCCAGTCACTTCATAAAATCTTCTGTTCTTGAATTTTCGAGGTGCTTTGGCCTAGAGGTAACGCGGTTGCTGGTGTACCCTAAGGTCTAGTTTGAGTTCTGGCCGGATCTTGGTTTTTTCAGTATAGATAAAATTGAAAAAAAAAATAGAAAAATTTAATTGTCTGCTTAAGTTCGTTTGTCTGATCAAGTTTTGCCGACTAATTCGGTCTGATCACGGTTTTTTTCTCGTGCTGTCAATGACTTTCTGTTTTTCTCTGAACGTAGTGAGCACTCTTATATAGGTCTTGCCGATTTTTTTGTTCGGTTTTTTTTTCAGGAAAAGTCTGAAAAATTTGATTTTTTTTTTTGCGGTTTGGCTTGTGATTTCTTTTCTAGTTCAGTCCATTTCTATTCTTAACAGGAAGGCAAACTCCATTATCAAACAGCAAAAATGTATAGGTCACGAAAAACGTAATTGACTTCTAATTTTGAAAATGGAAATTAATTATCAGATTTCCCAGCGAAATAAAAGTTTCGCCTATCGATCCAGTTATCTCAAATTGGGTGAATTTTAACAAAAAGTGTCCATCATATTTTGTTCTACAAATTAAAAGAGTTTTAAGGCCATTTTTTTCTTCGAAATTCAAAAGTTGAAGTTTCTCAAAAAAACAAGTCAGTTTTTTTTTCAGTTTCCTTGCGTTCAATACTCTTTTCCAAATGTTAGCTGGCAATGTTTAGGTTAAATGTAACTTGACATCTTTTAGGGAACATCAAGATGCACGTGTAGCAACTAGTGTTTTTTTGGTGCTATTCCATGTTTGTGTTCAGAGTCAGTGGTGGAAGAAGGGGGACGTGGGAGTCCGAGTAGTGGGAACCAGAGGAGCAGTGGGGGTGACATGCACACCATTTGCGAGGAGGACTCGGGGGGAGTAGAGAGGGACAACAAGGGACCCTGGCACCTGACCCCCGCCAACACCACCAGCAGCAGTGATCCCCCCGCACCAGCTCCCACCGCCACAGTCGATGGACCTTCGAGCAACCACAGTGGGGGCGATGCAGCAGCCACAGTGGGCAGTGGGGTCGCTACTGGTGCCAACGAGAACAAGAAGGAGGAGGAGAAGTCGAAGGAAGATGAGAGTACTGTGGAGAGCAAGTACGTGCCTCCATGGATGAGAAATAAGTCTGGCCCAATGACCGCCACTGCAGATTCCCCCGCTGGTGCTAAATACCTGCCCCCTGTTCGAGCGAGGGGTCAGTCACATCTGCAGACCAAACCGCCGGACGTCCAGAGCCAATCCGACTTCCCTAGTTTAGGCGGAGCAAACACAAATCCAGATGGGCAAAATGCATGGCAGAGGTCGCAGGCCAGCTCCGCAACCTAAACGCAATCATCAACAGAGCTGCAAATCAGCGGAGACCTAATTCACAAATTCTGAAACGTCAAAACTGAAATCGGAAATTTTGAGGGACTTGAATTTTTGAGCCGCGTTGATAAATTCAATTTTGGCTCTGGTATTTTTTATAAGTCTGAATGTAACCCATCGCCAGAGGGATTTTATTGAATAATGTGTTTTATAGATTCAATGGCGCATATTCAATTCAGAAACATTTATTTGACTGTTTAAAAGAAGTTTTTTGTACTTATTATTTGGTGAAAGTAAAATATAAAAGTTCGAAAATTTCAATTTTAAATACATTTATTTCTGGAAATCGCCCACCATCGTGAGAAAATTGGTTTACTGAATAGTCAATTAAACCATTTCTGACATTTGCATATCGTATACTTGGATCCATCTCTGAACACGTTTAATGCTTCGACCACTTCATGAGATTGGCGTAGCTTGTACAGAGTCGATGAACGTATATAGTAAAAAAACCTAAAATTTGTTGAGGCTCAAATTTACTTTTTTGCGGTACTTATGATTTCTTTACGCTCACGATTAGCAAAAGTAGTCGATTAACTTGTGCTATGCTCCTGATTTTGCTAATATGCTGCTGATTCAAATTTAACTACTGGATACTAGTTACTACTGGAACATGTATAAATATAGAGCTTCGATTATGTTTTTTCGGCTTCGTGGTTGTCGACCTACGCTATGTCATTTTTTTTTACAATTTATGCTCACTTTGCATACACTACTTATAAAGCTATCGTGGATCGCATGGTGGGCGTTACATGCAATTTGAACAGCTTATTGACTGGCGGGTATTTACCGTTTTTTTCCTTGGAACGCCCGGTAGTACTTTTGAGATCGATAACACCCTGGCACTGATAATTGAATACCAGAAGTCAACTGCACTAGGACCTCTTTGAAAGATTTGTATTAGTTTAAAGACGAAACAAAATACTTTGAAAAAATCCTTTTCCTTCATCAATTGTAACATGGTTCGATGTTTTGTTTTGCAATGATTGACCGTCATGGTGATTTCATCCTACAGTTGTTGCATCCCAAGTGGCGCGATGCTCATATTCGCCTCTGTAGTTAAACTTTGGTTCTTTACACTAGCAAGCGTAGTGTAATAGTAAAACTATTATATTTTTCCAACCTAATTCGCAAATATTAGTGATAATTTTTGTGGCAATTTGATGCTGACTGCATTGGCAGTTTGACAGCATTTGCTTTGAAATTTGATTAGTAATAATTTTTGTAATTTCCAATTTATTACATGCAAAATTTTGTCCATTTGTGTTTGGTGCATGTTTGGCTGCATCGCATTGACAAGGTTTTTCTTTCCTAGTTATTCGCGAAGAATTCGTCTTTTTTTCTAAACTTTATCTTAAGGGAAGAAAATTCATGGAGGAGGCGAAGTGGACGTTCTACCTTCAAGTTCCTCGGTAATCGTATGAAAGGTAAAAATTATAGTTCAAAGCTCTAAAATCTGATTCAACGGGATTTTTAGTTTTTATATGAAAATATTATTTATGAATCAAGATTTTAGAGTAATAGATTTGCCTTTGATGGATATGAGTTGACATTTCGGTTGCATTTTCAAAGTGTCCTTCAAAAAGAAAAACGTAAAAAAGAAGTAATAATTCGGAACGAAACAAATTCTATCGATAAATTGTTATCCCGTTTCTCAGTGGTAGAGACCAACTAATAACGGATTTTTTTTGAAAAAGTTATTATGAGCCGCACCTCTTAACACGCTACTGGATTTTCAAAGTGTCCTTCAAAAAGAAAAACGTAAAAAAAAGGTAATAATTCGGAACGAAACAAATGCTATCGATAAATTGGTATCCGGTTTCTCAGTGGTAGAGACCAACTAATAACGGATTTTTTTGAAAAAGTTATTATGAGCCTCACCTCTTAACACGCTACTGGATATGCGGTAAAAAACTAAAGTGGTGACACCGAAGTCTTGTTACTTTTTTTTGCAACCATAAATGAATTTTTCCCGGCGCACTGATGACCGTAATAAATTGTAAAAACTTTTGCGATAAGGTGTCGATTCAAATGTGATTTTGCTAATAATCTGTTGTATGATTAAATGGTTGTGAATAAAATGTTGTGCGAAAATCTGAAGAAAGTTATTTTTGATCAATTGGTCATACTGTAGGTTTTTTTTTCAGCGGGACAGCATTTTCTGCTACATTTTGCAAGTGACAATAAAATCCAGCTTCCGCATTTTGTTTATCTGTTAAATATGCCGTAAAATAATAAACGAAACCAGGGTTTTTTCTTTAAGCCTGAAAATTACTCAGCAAAATCTCTATTTGTGTTTTTATTGTTTTTTCAAAATTTTCTTGCCGTTTTTCGCTCTGTAAGTAAATAAATAAAGCGCTCATTCTTGCATATTAAACGAAGGTCAAGTTTGTTTATTTCTTAAATCAGCGTGCTCATTTCAGAGGCAATTTCCTAAGTATCCTTTAAAAGGAAAACGTGAAAAGTAGGTAATATTTACGAACAAAATAAACGTAATCTATCAATAAACTGGTATCCGGTTCCTGTGCGTCAGACGGGTTTATACCTGAGTTTTTGCGAAGAAAATGTATAAAGAATCTACCCTCTCAACACATTATTGGGTATGCGATTACTACAACGAAAGTGGTGACACCGAAATCTCGTTTTTTTGTAACCAGAAATGAGCTTTTTTCCCAGCGCGCCAATGAAATACTTGCGATATCTGCTTTCAACTCAAATGCAATTTTGCTAATAACTCTTTGTATGAATTTAATTATTGTAAAAAAAAGTTTCAGTTTTGAATCGAAAAGTGTGAGAAAATCTGGAGAAAAAATATTTTGATCAATTTGTGACAAGGCTAGTTTTTTTTTGTGTGGGATAGAAACTACTGCTACAAATTTCCAGTGGAAAAAAGTTACAGTCTCCTCATTTTGTTGACTTTATGAATATGCCGTAAAATAAAACACGAAACCAGTGATGCTTGTTTTAGCTGGAAAATAACTCTACTTCTCTGCAAATTCTATACTTTCATTGTGGAAATTTGGAAGTTTTTTTTTGCTTTTTCTTTCCTCTAAAAACTACATAATGCGCTTGTTCTCATATTTTGAACTTTATTTGAGCTTGTTTACTTCTTAGATCAGCGTGGTCGAAACATTTTGTGAATTTTCTTACAGAAACGTGTCCTCCTTGCTGAAATCATGGGTTCAGATTTTAAAAAACTAAGTATCGAAATGTTTACTCTGGCTTTATCGTTTTTGGCTTAGTCTTTTGCAAAGTATTTGTCGTTTTTTTCTAATTTCTCTTTTTTATCGGGAGAGGATTTATGGAGGAGGCGGAGTGGATGCTCTACCCTCAAGGTTCTGAAACCCTTGCCGTCAGCGTCAGAAGGGTTCACGTTGGTACTGTTTTAGAATGCTTAAGCCAACTGCCCTAATTGGTACTCTTCGTTTTAGAATAGAGAAAATGTAGCCAAATTTTTCTGCTTTGCCCCATTCCTCTCTAAAAACTAAATAATGCGCTCGTTCTCATATTTTGAACTTTATTTGAGCTTGTTCAGTTCTTCAATCAGCGTGGTCGATACATTTGAAGCATTTTCTCACAGAAACGGGTTTCTGTTGAAATCATGAAATACATACGAGCATTTGGACCATATTTAGACATTGATATTTTTTGCAAGGTTTTCCCGAAAAAAAACAAATCTTGCAACAATTTTGCAAAAAGAAAGTGCCTCAGTAGTCGCCTTGAAAAAAGAAATTTCAGCTCACAGCTCTAAAAGCTCATTCAGCGGGGGCTTTTGTGGATGTTAGTTTTTTATATGCAAATTATTAGTTATAAATAAGAACTGTAAAATTGAAAGCTTGCCTTTGTTGGATTTAAGTTACCAATTCAGTTCCAACTTCCAAATTATCCTTCATTTAAAAAATTGAAAAAAAGCTATTAACTCTAAATAAAATAAAAGTATTATATCATTGAATTGCTATTCAATTTCTCAGTGCGACAGACCAGCTTATACCGGAGTTTTTTTGAAGAAGAAATATCATGAGTATTCCCTCTCTACACGCTACGTCATCAATTTACGATATGTGGTAAAATGGTGGCGTTGAAGTTTTTTTTCTATCCAGAAATGCGCTTTTTTTCCCGGCGCTTTTTTTCCTGGTACTTGCGATAAATCGGAGGTTTTTTGAAAAAGAGTTATTATGAGGATCCCCTAAAACACACAACGAAAAAAATTATTTCGTTGAACGGATCATAATGAAGGTTTTTTTTGTGCGGGACAGCAATTTCTGCTACAAAGTTTTAGTAGCAAAATTTTCTAAGCTCCTAAGATTCTTCTTCTTCTGAACATGCCGTACAATAAAATACAAAACCCGTGATGCTTGTTTTAGCTGGAAAATAACTCTACTACTCAACAAATTCTCTACTTTCTTTGTTAATTTACTTTTGTGTTTTCGGAAATTTTTCTGCTTTGCCCCATTCCTCTCTAAAAACTAAATAATGCGCTCGTTCTCATATTTTGAACTTTATTTGAGCTTGTTCAGTTCTTCAATCAGCGTGGTCGATACATTTGAAGCATTTTCTCACAGAAACGGGTTTTTGTTGAAATCATGAAATACATACGAGCATTTGGACCATATTTAGACATTGATATTTTTTGCAAGGCTTTCCCGAAAAAAACAAATCTTGCAACAATTTTGCAAAAAGAAAGTGCCTCAGTAGTCGCCTTGAAAAAAGAAATTTCAGCTCACAGCTCTAAAAGCTCATTCAGCGGGGGCTTTTGTGAATGTTAGTTTTTTATATGCAAATTTTTAGTTATAAATAAGAACTGTAAAATTGAAAGCTTGCCTTTGTTGGATTTAAGTTACCAATTCAGTTCTAACTTCCAAATTAACCTTCATACAAAAAATTGAAAAAAAGCTATTAACTCTAAATAAAATAAAAGTATTATATCATTGAATTGCTATTCATTTTCTCAGTGCGACAGACCAGCTTATACCGGAGTTTTTTTGAAGAAGAAATATCATGAGTATTCCCTCTCTACACGCTGCGTCATCAATTTACGATATGTGGTGAAATGGTGGCGTTGAAGTTTTTGTTTTTTTCTATCCAGAAATGCGCTTTTTTTCCCGGCGCTTTTTTTCCCGGTACTTGCGATAAATGGTTTGCAACCAGAAATGCTTTTTAAGCTTTTTCTCGGCGCGCTATTGACCGTATTGGTGTTTTTTAAAACAAGCGATGTATGTTCTCAATTCAAATAGGATTTTGCTAATGAGCAATTATATAAAATAAATTATTGTGAAAAAAATTTAAAAATTTTGAATAAAAAATTGTGAGAAAATCTGAAAAAATTATTTCGTTGAATGGGTCATAATGCAGGTTTTTTTGTGTGGGATAGCATTTCTGCTACAAATTTTTAGTGGCAAAAATTTCTAACCTCCTCATTTTGTTATTTATCCAAATATGCCGTAAAATAATTCACAAACCCGTGATGCTTTTTTTAGCTCGAAAAAACTCTA